CACGGGACTATGGTGGTGGCACAGGGGTGATTTGGTGATGGGAAACCCGTGGGGATTACAATTGAGATGAAAAAAAAAAATGTGAAAAATGATGTAAAAATAAACTTTTTAATAAAAAAAAAAAAAAATTCAGTGCACTGATTGTACTAGCCACATGTGGCTAGGATAAGTGGCGAAATGTCCAAAGCCTCTACAGGGACAGTGGCCATCATACCAGAGAGCACAAATATGGGCAGTTTCCATCACTGTAGAGTCCTACTTGAAAGTGGCGATTATTATTTCATTCCAGAGCTCCCCAGTTGATATCTCTCTGAGAATGGACAGAGAGGTGGCAGGGGCCACCTAACGAATAGGCCTCAGACACCATCGCAGTTAAGTCCAAACTATTGAGGAAGGAGTTGGGGCACACCCAGGAGACTTTGGGGAGGGCCATGTGGAGCGGAAAACAGTATGAGTGGGAAAATGAAGACTGGGTGGCAGAGATGGGAATGACACTCTGGGACTGTCGGGTATGAACTGGAGCAGGGCGGTTAGGAGGGAGGATGACCTCCAGGGAGCAACATTCAAACCAGTCAACACTGGTACAGCAGCATTTCTACCAGGTAAGAGAAGCCATGGGATGGTACAGAAGACCCCAGGGCATCAAGGGTGGTGGGGAGAAGCGGGTAGAACTTCTCTGCCAAAGTATGAGTCAAAGAATTTCAGTATTCTTACAAATGGCAAAGTCCCTGAAGTTCAACTCTGACTGAGTACTTTCTGACCCATTCCCTCTCATTGCTGCAACAGCCTTAAACTGTCCAACCTGGTATTTCCTACCAAGATGGAGTCAGGGGGTAGAGAAGAGGGAGGGAGACCTAGGGAAATTCAAGCAGGGAAAGGAACCCCTCACCCCCACCCCCAGTACCTCAATAGCACTGTCACACCAATTCATCTGATCATCCACCAACTTGATGCTGTGCTTCATGCGTTCTGGGGGCAGGAGTTTGGCTTGGCCCACAACAGCTGGAGATGGGAGAAAGCAGGTGAGAGAATGTGGTGAGGCCGTGCATGCGAGGGTGCCAGCTGCCAACGAGCCCCTGGCCGCCCCCTACTCACGGTCCATGGCTGCTGGGGCAGCAGTGCCCATGCCCCGGTTCTGGATCTGGTACACAGGCTGTGTGGGTCTCTGCCCCTCCTTTTCTCCCTTGGGTGGCGCAGGTGCTGCAGGGGGTGGTGGGGCAGTGCCCTCGGGGGTTGGGGCGTTTGTTGGGGCCGCAGGCCCTTTCCCCTCCTCCCGAGGTTTCATGAGGACGATGGGCTTCTCCAGAGGGGCTGGGGCAGCTGGGGCAGCTGGGGCTGTTGGAGGTGGTGGCTGCTTTGACTACAGGAGTGAGAAGGTTCCAGTCAAAGGGAGAGATCATTGCCCTAATGGTTCCTAGCCTCCCCTTCCCTTCCGAAGAAGAGTCTTCCCAGCTCACCCGCTCTGCTGGAGGTTTTGAGAGGATGATGGGGGTTTTCTGCATGACGGAGGAGCTTGTCTCTTCGCTGCCATCCTGTGGTGAGGGAGGGCAGTTACTCAGGAATGGCTTCCCTGGTCCCTCCAGAGCCCGCGCACACACCTTCACAGATTAATTCCCTCAAGCCTACCAACAACTGTGTGAGACAGAGAGAAGGCATTATCTCCACCTACAGAAGACATGGAGACCCAGTGGTCTGCTGAGGTCACACAGCCAATTAACAAAGCCAGGACTAGAACGCAAGCAGCCTGGCCCCAGGACCATTCAGCCCACCACTCTGATCAGCTGCCTCTGCCAGACAACAGGCCCAGGTGGAGGAGCTGGGCTCGCGAGCCAGATAGCTTTGTGCTCCAACATGAGCCTGACTCCTGTTGGTTTCATGAACATGGACAAGGAACCACCCTCACTCAGGCCCATCGCATCTGGCAAATGCAACAGAAGTTTCTTTCTCACAGGATAACAGTGAGGTGATGGAGACAGAACTCAGACTGTCCATGTGGCACATGATGCACTGCAGATGTCCACTCTCTGAAGCCACTGCTGCCCCATGCTCTCTCCTCAGCACTGCTGAGTGCCACTCCAGGAGACAAACTCCCACACCTGGCCTCTTCTGACTCATCCCAACCTGCTCATGAAAGGGGAGGGACCCCAGTTTGAGTCCCATTCCTTCTCTAGTTGAGTAACCTTGGGAGCGCTAACCCCTCATGGGGTCTGTTTTTTCACCCACAGATTGAGGATACTTATCTAAATCTTGCTTACTTTACTGGCCTGAGGGGAAGAACAAAGATTATATGAAAGTGCTTTGGAAAGGAGGGCAGTGGTGAGAAGTGTGGGAAAGGCTGTGAGCTTCCAGGAAGCCAGGGAGGGAGACACAGGAGAAGTTCATGAGGGGAGACGACGGGTAGGGGGTATTCAGGGGACAGGCATGGGTGGGGTGGAAGTGGAAGGGAGACGTCCAGGATGAAGCCCTATGGGGTGTCACTGATGTGGGGAGGAGGAAAAATGGCAGGAAGATGCTGCTGAGGTCAGCAGGGAACACGGAGAATGTGAGGAGTCCACGGGCAAGTCAGGAGGCTGCCAGGGCTCAGCAGAAAAGACAGAGAGACAAAGACAATCTGGGAGCTGCCTGTTCCAGGGCTGACGCTAGAAGTTTCCCCCACAAGGATGAGTGTGAAATAAGAGAGACAATGTGTCCTCACTTAGTTTGTGATCTCAAAAGATAGAACAAAGAAGCATCCGGCTCACTGTGAATAAATTATTCGTCATGTTGACGCAGTTTCATAGCTCAGAAACTGGCCCCAACTGTTACCTATTTCCATGCCACCAAACAGCCTCAGAGGTGCCTGTCAACCTGCAGAAAGAATCCAGGGCAGGTTGTGGCAGTGAGTCACCTAAGTCCAGGAGAGGAACAAGGCAGGATGGGGGCCCTCAAGGAGGCGCCTGAGCCCATCCAAGACACTCCCTGCAGCAGAGTGGTGCTGATTCTATGACTTCAGGTAAGTCCCTTCACCTCTGAGGCTCATTCTCCTCACCAGGGAAAGCTGATCTATCACAGGCTCTCCTTCACGGGGTAGCGGTAACAGTTCAAGGAGACCCAAAACAGCACACTGCATGCTATTGTGAGGGCAGGAACAGCTGCTATTGTTTTTGCAGTTCTTTAAAACATGAGCTCATGACACCTCAAACTCTCCAGTCAGGAGGCACCTGGAGACCCCCACCCAGGACACTCCCTACAGCAGAACAGTGCTGACTCAGTGAAACCCAAAGTTCTTTCCAAGGCCTTCCAGGTCTACACAATCTGACCCCATTACCTGACCTCACCTTCTATCACTTTCCCTCCTTCTTCAGCTACCGCAGCCACAGTGGTCTTCTGGCTACTCTCTGAACACACAAGACACAGGCTTGAGGGCCTTTGTATCTGCTGTTCTGTCTAGAATGCTCTTCACTCCTTCAGGCCTCTGCTCAAAAGTCAGCTCTTCAGAGGGGCCTTCTCTGCTCACTTTGCCTAAAACAGCCCCCTTTTATCATTCTCTTGTTCCATGAGGTTTTGATGACGGTTAAAGCCCCAGCAACTGCACCAATGTCCAGCACGTGGAGGCAGTGGCTGCATGAGTACTGCGCCTGCACCCCGACACTCACCCGTCTCTCTCTTTCCCATGGTACAATGTAGTCCCTCTCCCGACTGCCAGGCCCAGAGAGGTTCTGGGGGCCTCCGGGCCCTGGTTCCTTCCACCGTCGCCGCCGCTCTATGCCGTAAAGCCCAGGCTGACTGTGCCCAGACTCAGACATGGTGGTCTACAGAGAGAAAGAGGTCGATTCCAGGGTGAAGCCAGTCTCCCGACTCTATCATGACTAGCAGAAGGCACTTCCTTCAATATTCATTCTTCACTTCTTTGAAAAAACTAAAACCCTCAGTACTGAGCTAGCACCTGACTATCAATATAATTCTCAACCTAGCTTGCTGTTAGGTATGGCTATGGGGCGATGTCCTTTCTGGCCAATGGTATAGCACAGGACTATGTCTGCAGCTTTCAGAACTCCTTCACAGGTGCCGGCATACGCCTTTTGCCTGCTCCTTTAGAAGGAATGTAGGTGTGAAGGCTGGAGCTCAAGTAGCCTTCTTGGACTGTGAAGCAACTTAATGGAAGGAAGAAATAGTAGAACAAGATAGAAGGTTCAGGGGTGCTATCTTACCCTCAAATTGTCTACCTCTACATGCAGTGAGAAACATATCCTTCTAGCGTTTACTTGTACCTTACACTACTGTCAACCAATAATCACTTTGCCTCAATATAAACACAACTCCTAGGGGTCAGGGTCATAAAAATGAGACATTCTCTTTCTCAAAATGCAGTAAAGAATTTCCTTACAAATCAGTATATCACCCCCAGTTTGATAACTACTCTTGTGAGTATTCATTGTTGGCACACATGGGATGAGGCTTCAGCATTCATTTGACCTCCCTCTACACTTCAGTGTTTGTTTAACTTCCACTTCTGATGGGCTGCCATCCTTTATACTCCAGGGTCTCACTGTGTTTAATCTGTCATAAAATGTTATGGCTACCAATGCGGCCCACTCCCAGCCACTGAAGTAGGAGGCTAAAGGTCTCTAGAGAGCTTCCTCAGCTGTTTACACATCATTCTAGGGAGGTCCTGCATACTTAACTTTGTTTGCAGGACTGAGGCCATCTGCTATATATAGCTCACCAGTCAGGTTAGTAAACTGCAACTTATGGACAAAATCTGGTCTGCCTCCTGTTTTTGTAAATAATAGTTTTATTGGAACACAGTTATGTCCACCAATTTACAAAATGTCTGTGGTGGTCCTCAGCAGAGCTGCATGGTTGAGACAAAAGTCAGAATCTAAAATATACTCTCAAATAAATACTCTCTGGCATTTGACAGAAAGTTCGCTGACTCTTATCTAAAATACACTCTCAAACAATTACTCTCTGCATTTGATAGAAAGTTTGCTGACCCTTGCTTGGCACGTAAGTGCCTATTATTGTTTCATGAATTCCCCAAGTCCCACCCTACTACATAGCCTCATAAACAAATCCCTGTTGGACACTCTTTCTTCAGAACATTAGTGTCTGTTTACAGCACACAGGAGTACTTTTGCTAGGCAGGTAGGGGCTTGTATAGCTTTTCTCTCACGGCTCTATGTGACCTCTCACCCAGCCACAAACCAGACTGAAGCCTGTTCCTTGGTGCTTATGGAAAATGATTCATTCAGTACTGAAATGATTGTTTACAGTCTCAGGTGGAGATTCCCCTCAGAATGAGGGACTTCTTATCTTGCAATTAAGACCCTGTTTACATATTATTCTCTATACCTCCCTAATGTGCAAGTGGGTTTCTCATGTGTTTCTTTAATCCCCTCAGTAGGGATTCTGCCCTGTTACTACAGTGTCTTAGGTACCCAAGAGAACCACTTCCCAAGCAAACCCACAATACTGCAGTCTATTCAACAGCCCTTATGGGGAACTCCCTAGAACTTAGGCATCTACCTATATACAATTTGGGGACCTGTAGTGTTGTTTCTAGGATTCACTGGGGATCTTCCCCAAACTAATAAAGCCCATTTAGTTAGATGTCTATTGACAGATTTCTTAACTGACATCCCAGGCCTTTAGTGTGGGGAAGTGGGGGAAAGGGGAAGTTCTTCCTCAACACTTAAATCATCTCTTCACAAATCCTTTTGGGAGCTATCCCAGAATCAAAGTGTCTACTGGCAATTTATCTGGACAGACCCCAATTGCCAAGTACATATTTATGTCATCCTAATGCATAAATATATGCATATATATGCACAAATAACGCATAAAGCACCTCCACCCCAGAAATGAATAGTCTATTCACACCTTTTTCTAAGCACTCTGTGACATAAACATTAACAGGTTCCTCTGGGGGAGCCTACCCTGCAGTTTATGGACATAATTCATTATTCAGGAGACTCCCCACATAATTACATATCTGCTTACAGGCCGCCCATGGCGAACCCCACGACTGAAGTTTCTATTGATACAGGAGGAGGAGGATGGCCTCCTAGACACTTAAGTTTCTCTTTGCCCACGACAAGGAACTTCAAGGTCCTTTACGATCAGTTTCGGTGCCCCTTTGTGGGTCCCCCAGGACTGAAGCTCCTGTTTCTTCCTAATTCCATACTGTGCGTCTGCTCACACCACACTCCCACCAACCCAGCTCAGTAACGGGCTGCTCTCGGCTGCCGGCTCAGTTCCAACCCCCAAGACCGTTTGACAGTCGAAAAGGAGGCGTGGCCCCGAATTGCGCCCCGCCCCTCAGGGGGTGCACGTGTCCTGCGCGGGCACGCAGATGCCTTACCTAAGGTGACTGCTGATTGGCTCCTGCGGTGCCGCGGGGCGCGCGCTCTCTGCGCAGGGAGTCGGGTGGGGGCGGGGAGGTTCCACCACCAGCCACCAGCCGGCAAATGGCGTTAAGGGGGACGCGACCGTAGACTAGAGAAAGGGAGAGAGAGAAAATACGGGCACCGATCTCTCCGGAACCGGCCTGAACGTCCCGGAAGCGGCACCTAGGAAAGGTACCGAAGAAGGAGGAAATATCGCGGGGCCGAACTGAAAGCAGGTCTCGCGGACTGCTGGTCGTGCGCATGCGCGGCGAGTGGGGCGCGCGAGACCTGAGCGTCAGCGCTTGGCTGAGCATGCGTTGCTGGAGGTGGGTGGCCTCTGCGCGCATGCGGATTACGGCGGGCAAGCGAGAGCGCGCTTTGGTTCCTTTTCGGCGCGCGTGCGCGTCGTTCGTAGGCGGGGCTGGGTGAGTGTGCTGGCGGAGCTGAGGAAGAGGGCAGCTACAGTGACAGCAGGTTCGAATCCCCGCCTTGTCAGTGGTGTTGGCGGGATGCGTTAGGGTGGGGCGGTAGGATGGAATTTTAGTTTCTTGGACAGAGTGAGTGCTGAGAACACAGGCATGAATCAGACTTGGAAGCGATCCCGGTCTTTGGAGGGAGATGGTTAGAGGATCAAATCACTTAGCAGGAAAGGGCTGAAGGAACCTTCCTCCGGGAGGAAGGTCCACGCTGGCTTGGATTCAGATCCCTCCTGGGGTGGGAAGTGCAGGTAGCACTGGTCAGATCCTGAGGGGCCAGGCTTTATCCTGAAGGCTTGAAAGAGTCACCAAGCATTAAATCCGCGCTGAAGTTAAGTATTCACTCTTGGAACGAAAATTTCAACGCCTTGGGGCAGAGCTCTGTGCGCGCTTCAGAAGAAAGTCTGCTGCTTTCCTGGCTGCGGAGAGTGCCTAAGCATTCCAGGGGTTCGTGGCCTTAGCTGGGCTAGTTAGCTATCCATTGTGAATGACAATGAAAGATTGCTCAAGAAAAGAGAGTAATATAGATAGATAAAAGGGTGGGGCACTCACCATTTTTCACTTGCAGTCTTATAAAACGTATTTTACCATTTTATTTGAGCAGGTAATACCTGTACGTTTTGAGTAAAGTCAAGAAGTCAGCAAGAACCCAATAAAAAGTAAGTCTGTTCTGGTCCCCATTTTCTGTCCCTAAAGCAATAGTTCCCAGTTTCCTTCTCGAGTTACTGGCACAGCAAAGCATTGGAGCTAAGAGCCTAACCCTGCATTTGCAAACATGGTGGCTTACCTTAATCCTCTCTGCCCTATATTTCCCTTGGGTGTGACAGCACCTTATGTATGATGTTACTGACAGAGCTAATGTGTGAAAATGCCTAGAATTCCGATGCTTGGTGCATAGTAGTTGAGTTATTTTGTGATTTACAATGCTAATGATAGTGATTAATACCAATCTGCCTGCTCTGTTGCTGCCATTTTCTCCTCCAGGGACAATCCTACTAGGCAACAGGGGTGTGACCTGTTCCCCAGGCTGCCACAGATTGGGTAAAAACACAGACTGAGTTGAGGATCCTGTTTATAGATTCTCCAGAAGATTGTGGGTGTTTGATGGACCTACACCTGACAGGCCATCTTTGTTTTCAGCATCTTCATCTTTGTTAGTTTATAGCTGATTTTCTCAACCCCAGCTCATCCTCCATACCAATTTCACATCTGGGCAATCTTTAGAGGTGAAAAATGACTTAGAAAAGGAAAAAGAAAGGACCTAGCCTTCACCATGTGCCCACTATGTGCCAAGCTCTGTTTTACGTAAATATCACTCCAGCCTTTCCCCTTCCTTGTTTAACAGATACAGAAATGAGTCTGAAAGAAGAAAAGAGCCTTACTAAAGGCTCTGTAGCCAGGGAACAGTAGCACTTGGACAAACTCAAATCTATCTTATTCCAGGATGAGCTCACATTTTTTTCCCTTGGCCCCTGGCAACCTGCCTGATGGTTATCAGTAGTATAGTTAGGCATTCAGGAGACTGCCTTTTCTCTTAACTTAGTGGCATGGTTTTCTGTTGTGGGGATATGGCATACTTCAGTCATTTCTCTACTGATAAGCACTTAAGTTGTTTCTGAACTCTTGTTTTATAAGTACAAGAGTTGCTGCAGTTAATGTCCTTGAATGTTTATGGCATATTTCTGGTAGTATTTATTATCCAGATATCTGGTTTGAAGTTGAATTGCTGGTCAAAGGGTTTGTACATTGGGAATTTTGAGAGTCATTGCCCCATGATCAATTATTCATCCCTCTGTTCAGCCTTTCATTCATTCATTCATTCATAAATTGTCAAACTTTGCAACTCTAGTCACCCACCAGGCATAGTTTATTATAAGACTAGTGGTACTTCTAGTCTACTAGAAGTCTTATAGTAGATAGAACAGAGCACCTGTCTCCTAAGGGTAGGTTTTCTCTTGGAGCATATGTCAAGTAAAAGATACTTAAAAAAATCAGGATAAGGGAATAGACATTACAGAGATCACAGAGAGAGTGACAAATAGTTAAGAGAAGGCTGCCCAGAGGAGGTGACATGAGCAGAGGCCTCAACTGAGCAGAAGGTAAGGAAATGAAACATGGAGAGGTTGAATATTATTAGGAAGATTTCAGAGTAGAAATGGGCCTAGCTGTTCAAAATTGTCAGGGCGACCAGATGGCTAGAGCAAGGAGAGGTGAGAAAGGGTAGGACTCTAGGGGTGGAGCTAAAGAGAGGGACCAGGTTGTACAGCATCTTGCAGGCCATGATAAGGGCTTTGGAATTTGCTTCCAAGTAACATTAAACCAGTGGAAGGCTATAAGCAATGGACCAATATGCTGTGAGAATATTTCATAAAGATTTCTCTAGTGAATGCCAAAAGTTAGTTAACAGCGGTTGCCTGTGGAGCTGTAGGTAATGGATCTGTATCAGATCTTGTCTTTGTAGGTCCTTTTAAGCTTTAACCTGTTTTTGAACCAGCTGACTGTTCTCTGTGTAGAAAGTTCAATGAAGCTGGTTGCTGTGAGAACCTTCCTACAGCAGGGCAGTCGTGGAAGTAGATGAAGAAGCTTGTGTCCCTTCCTGGTGAGAGGTGATAATGGCACAGGAAGAGAGCTGTTTGAGGGGATGCATGAATCAGAGATGATAAAAAGTTACACTAAAGCTTTGAGGCCCAACTAACTGTATGAAGAATTAGGCTTTTTCCCCCACACTGAGTTGGAGGCATCTTCACAGAAATGGGCAACTTTGAACTTATTAATCACAGTTAGGAGAGTGGCCAGGAATCAGAGTTTATAGATCAAGAATGTTTACTGACTTCATTGTAGGATTTTAAAAACAAACACTAACGTAGTACAGTGTAGACCTCCACATGACCAAGCACATGTTTCCCTGGAGTATTCTTTCTCTCTCTCTCTCTCTCTCTCTCTCTCTCTCCACACACACACACACACACACACACACACGCATATATATATTTAAAAATTGATTTATTTATGCTTACTGAACTGAGGTATAGGCCAGAGGTGTGGTGAGTGAGAGGATTCACCAGAGACAGAGTGGGGAGTAGAACAGGCAGATTGACAAAGTACACTGCTGAGGGGAGCAGCGGGCGGTCAGGAGAGGTCTGCTATACTAAGTGGGTCAAGCTCTCTGCCTGGGGATCGAACTCATGCTGCGTGGCTTCTGAGAGCTTATAATGCGGTGCTTTAACCTGTTACACCACCAGGGAGAGCCTTCTCTCTCTTTCTTTTTTAAAGCAAATCTCAAATGTCTTGTCATTTTATCAAAAACTATATAAATAAACTAAATTTTGGAGTTGTTGATTTATTGATGATTTATTTAAAACCCTGGGATTTTCTGAAAAGCCATCCAAGGTGGAAGGGGATAGAGAAAGCAGAGACTAGCCCCAGGGCCTCCCACATTTGGGGATTAGGGAAAGGACCAGAAGCAGGAAGACACATGAAGACAGCTAATGACCTGGAGCCAAGGAAACAAAAGGTTCCAAAGAGAAGTTGGTAAGTGGGACACAGAGATCTGGAGGTAGATGTGGGATAATTTGTCTTTTTATTCTCCAGTCTAATTATGTTGTAGAAACTTCTCACTGTGATAATAGAAAGTGTTTAAGTCCTTATTTTTCTTTAGCCTTTTAGCAAGGTGGACATTACAAGTGCACAGATTAAGAGGAAGTACAGGAATTTTTTTATGTCCTCCTATGCCCATGACCAGGTGTTGATAGAAGACATTTCCAATGTCCCAGAAATTTTCCTGCACCTTTTCATGTCAATTCCCCTGCACCAGAAGCAACCCCAATCTGAATGTGGTTGCTGCAGGCTAGGTGTGCCTGCTCTTGAACTTCACGTGTGTCAAATTGGACCAGGTCTTATGTGTCTGACTGCTGTAACCCCATGTCTGGGAGAGTCTCCCGGGTTGTTTCCAGTGGCAGAAATTTGTTTTCTAAGAACTAACATTGTCCAAGCCTTTCCTGTTGTGGCTATTTCACTGTATGTAAAACAGAGACTTCAATTCCAGTTTTCTGCTTGGTGAATACATGGAGAACTTTGGGGTGACTGAGGAGGGGCAGTATGCTGATGAAGTGACAGGACAGGGAGAATGGACAAAGGGACTTGGACCCAGGTCCTCAAGTGGTGAGAAGGGCTACAGAGAGGAGACAAGAGACTGGTGTTGGACTTTAATGAAAGAAAGGTCAGCTCATCCTGGTAAAAGAAAGTTTAACCTTTTGACTTCCCCTCCAAGGTGAGGAAGACGCTTCTGGTTTTTGTCTGTTGGCAGCTATTCTGTACAATGAGAAAGCTCAAATCAGGACTGTAGCCAACTTCCTTTAAGGGCCTTACCAAAGCACCAACCAGTTACTGTCCATAATTTTGCTCATAATTTTTCTGAGTGTCTGAGGAGAAAGGTGGGTAACTATAACAAAGACTGTTTGAAAAGGTAGAGACTAGTCCCTGGAAGAGCCACTAGGGAGGTGATGATGAGGGAGAGGGGTAGTATTCAGAGCCTGAAGAGCCTCCCAGGTGTTTCCTGTAGGGATGTGAACACCGCAGGATTTGCTTCAGCAATGAGAATGCAGCAGCAGAGACAAACCTCACAGCCACTGTCCAGTGCACAAGCAGCAGGTAGTATGTCTGGCTGTGCGGTACCGTTCAAGTCTTTCCGGGGCCTAGAAACTTCTAGTTTGGTCTAGTTTAGTCTGTGGTAACTACTGAGGGAAATACATTTGTGGAAATTATTGAGGCTATATTTTAAAATGTGTATGCAACTATCTTGATGGGGGGAAAAAATGGAACTAGATAGGGCAAAGGGCAAGTGGGGGCCCTGGAGGGTTTTAAGCAAGGGAAGAGATCAGATCTTGTTGAAGAGTCCTTAGGGGTCATGTGGGGGTGCACAGAAGTGTCGGGGGGGAGGCCAGAGCCTGACCCAGAGCTTCAGCTTCTGACTGGCTCTCTAACACTTGTAAACACCCACTCTAACGACCCATAGGAGTGGAGGCAGAACAGAAGTAGCCAGAATCCCTGAGAGACAGAGCCTCCTCCATACACTTCCTCAGGACAGAGCTTGATACCTGCAGACCCTAGCTCAAGACCTTCAGGCAGAGCTGATTCTGCAGAAACAGTGCAAAACTGCCAAGCAGAAGTTTCAGGGCCTGTACCGCACAGCCGAGAAGGGGGCAGACCCAAGATAATCTAGAGCAGATCTTTCACATGTTCTTTCAGTTTCTTCATCAAAAGTCCCTCCTAAGCAGTTTCTGCCTTGTCTTGACGGAAACCCACATGTGGAGGTGGGTTGCTCACCAGTAAGTGTTTGTTCAGTGCTATTTCTGAGGTCCTTGAAGACACAAGAGGGAACAAAAAGGAAAGTAGGGTGGCATGACCTCCGAGTGTCTGAATGTGCTGTTGCTGGGGGTGTGGAGCCAGGCTGCCTGGGTCAAATTCTTATTCCCTCAACTTTTGGCTGTGACTTTGGGTAGATTCCTTAATGTCTGTATGCCTCAGTTTCCTCATCTGTTAAGCAGAACCAGCAGTTGCCCCTTGTCCTTGTGTAGAGATTTGGGGAGGTCATTTGTAGAAAAGGCTTTGCGTAGTGTCTGTGATACAGATTCACAGGTCTTGGGTAGTTTCCAAGAGGGCTTCCCGGAGGAGGAGGCATCAAAGCTGAGGCCTAAAAGAGGAATGGGAAGGAGTTTGCCAGCTGAGTAGGGAATCATCCTCTTTCTATTCATTTTGAGTCCTAGCAGATATGGTGGGGGTATGTGGGATGGTGTGAATTCCTGCTGGCCTCCTGGTGGGCAAGTTATCATCTAGGTTCTAGAAAGACAGGAGTAGAGGACAAAGGGGCAGCCATGAGGAAAGGGGGTTCCCAGAGGAATGAGGGCATCCTGCAACACTGTGAAGAAGAGTTCCTGTGGGGTAGGGTGCCCACAGTTTCTTTGGAGGTCTCATTCAGTTCCAGCTGGCAGACAGATGAAGAGTAGTCATAGCTGTGGGTAGTGCAGAACCTGGTTTAGCTGTCGGCGTCATGGGCTGAGACTGGCTGTAAACTTGTAGGGAAGTCCAAAGATAGCAGAGGTGGATGACTCGTGGCCTGGTCTTCCCCACAAATCGCGGGAAATGAGAGTGAATCAGCTTCTCAAAGTGGAACGAAGCCACAGTGGGAAGTGAGACCTGGCTTCCAGCAAGGCACTCAGCTTATGACTCACCACAGGCAGAACTCGGCAGTGGGCAGGCTGCTGCTGAATCGGGGCCCTGTAGTCTGAGTTCTGAGCTTCGAAGCCTGGCTCCTCATGAAACATGTTTCTCTCCATAGGGTGGGATAGGGTGGGAGTGTTTATGGTGATTTCTAAAAAAGGGAGCCCTCAACTTGATGTACCATAGGACTTCCAGAAATGCAGGTCCCCTTCTTTCTGAGTCCCAGCAATATGAAGCTGGTATGTGGGACAGTGTGGAGATCCTGCCAGCTCCTGATGGGTGAGCCATCATGTAGGTTCTGGTAAGGGAAGGGAAAGGGCAGTTATGCATTGTGTCTGAACGTCAATAGCAATAATAAAATGATTGAGTGTCTCGAATATTTAGTTCTTCCTAAAAGCCTGACTGTGCCACTCCCTATTTTAACCTTCTCAGCAGCTCTGTGGGGAGGGCGTGCATTTTCTGCAGACAAGGTAAAATGCTCAGAGAGGTGAAGCACTTACACAAAGTCTCACAGCCAGTGGAAGGCAGAGCCAGGCTCTGGACCATAATCTGTCTGAATCCAGAACTCTTGCTCTTAGCCTCTGATGGGGGCAACAGGGTTGACATTACTGAGCACTGGATGGGCACTTGGGCTAGGCCTGTTTTATAGGTGGGGAAATGGGGTCCAGCCACAACTGGACCTGTCGGTTTAGAGTGCTGATATGTTGAGAAAGAAGTAGCAACTTCTGGTTTTGTTTAATATTTATTACAAAGTATAAGAGCAGAGGCTGGTGAGCTGCGTGTCCCTCCATGTTCTCTCCACCAGTCTCTGCAGTGCTGGAAAAATAGTGTTTTCTTTTCTCTCCCGCCAGGGGGTGCCACCTCCTGCCTCGTCCCAGCTGAGGCCTGGTTCTGTCAGCTCTGCCGTCCAGCTAGGTAACTGGGTAACTGAGGCAGCCCAGGATCCTGGAATATGGGCCCCCAGTGGTCCCCTTCTCCTCTGGGATCCTGGAGGTTGTCTCTAGCTGGAAGTTGTCTCTAGCAGCACAGTGAGGGTGTTTGTGTCCAGGGCGATTGGAGTAGTGTGGCCATTAGTGCCTCAAAGAGACCATGATCTCTCTCTTTCAGCCAGTGTCCCCTCCAGCAGCCACCAGCAAGTCAAATCAAACCACCCCTAAAGTGGGGGCCTCCTCCGTTCTCACACTTGAGATGATTTTAATTCATGGAGCTGGGTCAGGAGTAGAAGGGAGAATGTCCCTGACTTCAATTCTGGGGAAAAGAGCCTGGTTCTTCCATGTGCCCTGGGGAAACACAGAAATGATAGACAAAAGACCAGAGGCAAAGACCAGAGGGAGAGCGAGAGGGGAACACCAAAGTGAAGACAGACAGAAGCCAGTGGTCAGAGGGGTAGGAAAAAGGCGGGTGTATTGGCAGGGTCCGGACAGGCATCTGGAATGAGCTAGGGACAGGCAGAGAAAGCCCACAGAAAGAGGGTGAAGAGTATTGTGAGTAAGCACAGGGGAGCAGGAATATCTCCTTCCTTTACCTCCAGTCCAGCCCCAAACCTGGAGTCCTTCCTTCCACACACCAAAGCAAAGAGAAAGGGTGGCTTGTCCCCAGACCCTCCCCCCGCCCCCTCAGGTACACAGGGTGCTGACCGCAGGCACCCTTCCTGAAGAATGTTTTTGTACCCAAGTCCCAGCCCCCTCACCAGCTACGTGGCCTCCTGGCTGGGTTCTGGAAGCTGCTGCGTCCTCAGGGCAGTGCTAAGCAGCTCAGTCAGGGTGTCCAGCTTCCCTGCCAGTGCATCGATACGCTTCTCCAGGGCCCGGTGCGAACTGCCCAGCCCCAGCTGCAAGTCACACAGGATCATGTGCATCTGGGGAGAGAGAAGGTCGGAGGCCTCAGGGCACTGGGGGAGACACCTCCCTGCCTTATGGACTAAGGCAATGAAACCAACATTTATTAAATCCTGAGACCTTCCAGGATAATCCTCAACAATAAGGCACTGCAGCAGCCCAACAGCTTGGTCAGTTCAAATCCTCCTAAACGTTACCAACAGTGAGCATCCTGTTCCATTGTCACAGCTGAGCAAACTAAGGCCTGGAACATTTACGTGACAGAACTGAGGCAGCACCTAGAATCTACCCAGGTCAGAGTAAGTGCCCCTGAACATCCGGGGAATGGACAGAGGTCTGACTTCAGAGTTCACTGGCCCTTCCACTACCTTCTCAAACTGGGGTTCACTGCTCAGTCTCATCCTGGGGGTAGGGGTGGGGGATCCTGCGATTTCTCTGAGAATTCTTGAATTCTGCCTTTTTGACCCAGTCATCTAGAAAATGACATCCCACCCTTCCAGCAGACTGCCTCTCCTCTGGAATCTGCATTGCCACTTATGGGGACTGTGTTTACCTCCTCTCTTGTGCCAAGGGCCCCTGTTTGAATTAACACGGACTAATGAGGAAAAGCAAAGGACACCAGATAAGCAGACGGTGCCGTGAGCCAAGCCCACGGGGTGTGAGGTCACTGTCCCTGAACTCGGGTGGAAATTAGTGGTCCCAGCACGAGACCACTACTGTGTTGTGTCTTGCGTTGCCACGAGCCTGAGCGCCTCATGCAGCAGCCACAGGGACAGAGCTGGACTGAGACATCGCCTGGCTCCCCGGCCGTGGTGTCATGTGCAGGTTATTGGCTTCCCTGTTGATGTTTGAACTGGATCTGTAAATTTGCTTTGGTTTTATTGTGTAAGAGTTGTCGTTGGAATTTTATCTGTCCACAGGTAAATAACTCAACAATGAAACTAATTTAAAAGCAAATACTGGGGTTCTTCACACAACCTCTTTTTGAAGTGGAAAAAGGCATCTGCACCTTCCCTGAGTTCTGGAAACTCCACAATGCATCAGTCATTCAGTCACACTGCAGAGGCCATGTGTGGAGTCCCCTGCCACTGCTCCCTATGCCAGAGCCAGTTTCCCTACCAGGGGTCCTTACTGCCCTCTTCTTCCAGACCCCTGCCCTGGGAGCCCAATACCTTAGAGATGTCCACCATGGAGTTCACTTGTTCCCGGAGCTTCCGGTGTTTCAGCCGCACATGGCGGAACCTAGGGGGAGAGAGTGGGAGGTCAGCTCTCCTCCAAGCCTGATGCCAGATATGCCCCTAGCTCGGGGGTGGGATGAGGGGAGGAGAGACCCACGTGACACAGTACAGTGAGCAAAAGGTGCCAGAGAGCTGGGGAGTGGGAGGCAGTGACTGTACCCTTGAGCCCGCCTCCCAGATAGAGACCCAAGTGTCCAGGCTCAAGGACAGACGTGCAAAAGAAGTCGCCACTGGCAGCCCACGAGGTCCAGGTGGACATCCGTTCATGAGACACACTTGGGTTCCTGTCCAGGGCGCGCTCATGTGCATACACATACATACAACACATGGGGAGGAGACTTGGGTACGGGGCAAGCACAGAGCCACTCACGTGCTGATGGCAGCCAGCAGCCTGCGCTGGTGCCTGCGGGCAGCCCCAGAGTCCTTCCTACGTGTGTGTTTGTAGAACATCCAGGCCTCTTGCAGCACTCGGGCAGCGGACTCCTTCATCTGTAGGTAGGCGGCACTGTGTCAGGGAAAAAGACCCCAAGGACTGTGGGAAGAGAGGGCTGGGGGATGGACTTCTGGGTCTGAGGGAGGTGGGGGCTGGGGCCTGGCCTCCTGCCTCTGAGGAAGGAGGGGGCTGGGGCCTGGAGGCCTGGACCTGCAGAGGGGCTTTCTGGCTGCTGTGTGTCTGCCTCACCTCTTTGGCATATTGGATGTCCATCATGAAGTTATGCACGTGCTTCTCTGCCTTATTAAACTCCAGCTTGCGGGCCACCACGGCCACCAGCAGGGCTGTGCAGCAGACACCCTGTGGGCATACCAGACTCCATGATGCGGGCTTTGGGACTCCATGGGTCAGCTCTGTGCCACCAGTTTTCTCCTCGAACCTTCGCAACTGCCCCAGCGGGTAGGCACAGCCAACTCTGGTTGACAGACAAGAAGATGGCCCCAGAGGAGAACCAGCACTCCAGAGCTCAAAGTGGCCAAACTGGGATGAGAGAGTATGCGTACCAAGCATTTACACCATCAGAACAACCTCTTTCTTTATGACTTGAGGAGGGGAGCAGGGCTGGTCTGGGTGAGGGCAACACCTCTGGCTCCTGGGTGACCCTCCTCATCACTCACACCTGGTCAGCCACTACATCACCAGGGTGTCCCTGACACTCCTCCCTTGGCTTCTGCCTCACTCTGACCCTGCCATCTCCCTCCTGGGCCATCTCTAGCCTTTCCATTCCCACCCTGACCCTCACTGTAATCTCGTCATCTCCCACCTCCCCCAACTTAACCCACCTTTGAAGGCTTTCAAAGTCTAAGCCCCGCCCCTCGGTCAGTGGCCCTCCTAACTCCCAGGACTCTGGGCTCCTATCTCACTCGGCTCACCTGCATGAGCACCTTGTCTAACCTCTCATTCTCCTTTCTCCCAAGGCCTATGATCGTCATCAAACTTCACTTATTCTGTGGCACCTGATCACTTCTTACATTAGAACAAATCCTCCTCTGAAGCTTTACAGCACCCCATATTTCAGCTCTTGACCCCTCAGCAAAATTTACTAATTTGGGGGCTCTGGAGTGGTTGGTGTTCCAAGCCCAGCTCTGAGCAGTTCATTTAATCTCTCAGCTCTGACCCACTTTTTATCTGCAAACCAGGGGTGCCTTCACAAAATCATGCTGGGGTCCAGGAGTCAACACCCAAAAATGTTAGGAGCCCACACTGGCACAGGCCGTGTGCTCAGTGCAAATTGGCTCTTGCCACTTGATTGCACCATGGCACCCCAGGGCCAGGGGTGGACTGTGTCTCCAAAGCAAGCACCTCATTGCTCAGTTCCCTCCTCTGTCAAGTGAGGGAGGAGGCCGGGCAGCCCTGAGGGTCCCTGTCCTGTGGAAGTATTGCCCAGCTGAATTTCTGGTCCTAAGGCCCTCTTGTGTGTGTGGAGCTCATATTTCCCTGCCACTCTATATGTTACCTATGAACCCACAGGACTTAGGGGTTCAACCTGGGTTTCTTGGGACATCAGGGCTGGCAGCTTGTGTCCTTGGTGGTAAAGGGATCTCATGGGGAAGTAAAGGCCAAAGCACTGGGTGCTGGGTACTCGAGGGGGACAGGAGCTGAGGGGGGAACACCTGGTGTATGAAGGGGAGGGGATGGATTCTGGATACAGGAGGATGCTGATTGTAGAGGAGAGGACCCTGGGGCTGGGGAAGCCTCTGACTCATCCTTGAGGCAGAAGAGTTGGAGGAGGGGAGCCGGATGCCTGAGACCATTTACAGTAACAGCCCCACCCCCACATGATTTACTGAACATTTCCTACGTGCAGGGCACTATTTGGAGCGTTTATTCCATTCATGAGGAACCCCATGAAGAATATATTAGTATTAGCATCCCATTTTATAGAGGAGGAAACTGAGTCCTCCAGAGATTATACGGAAGTGGCAGAACCAGGCAGCTTGGTCCACTGGCATGCTCTGGATGACTAGACTCTGTAGCCTGGGTACAGGCTGAGATACTCAATTCCTGGATCTGGAGGAGCTTGGAACCAGGTCCTGAGTCCTAGACGGCTTTTGAGAGTAAACTAAAGGCTAAGGGTGGGAGAAGATAGGATGCTTGAGCCTGGATAGGATTCAAAGCTGGAGTCCCAGATTTTGGAAGGAAATGGGTTGGCAAGTCAGGGGCCTGTGTCCTGAGAAGGATGAGGGCTGGTGTCCTGAGTTCCTGGGTCTTAAAAGGAAATGGGACTGGGCATTTCTTAGAGGTGCCCCTGATTGCCTATGCTGGCTGCATGGTTTCCTGGACCAGTTTCCTGGAGATTGGGGAGGGTTTGTGAGGGAGCTGTACTCACCATAACCCCGGTACAGAGGCAGACAATCTTGCCCCACATGGTGCCCGGCACCACATCCCCGTAGCCAATGGTCAGGAAGGTGATGGGAATCAGCCATAGTGTGTCTGAAAGGTGCCCGGTGGCATTGACAGCCTGCCTGTGAGGGAAGGTGGGTTAGTTCAGAAACCTTGTCCCAGGGATCTCCATCATGTGTAATGCCCTCCTTCCTAACACACCCTCACAGTTCTCAGAACATTTAGCATTAACGCCAGCATGTTCTGGGTTTTCGAATATCTGCCTGGCTTCCTATCTCTGTGACCTGGGCAAGAGCCTCAGCCACTCTGGGCCGTGGGATCTGAAACTAGTGCTGGCCAGTTCTAAAGTCTTTGGAATTGTTGCTTGCTGGTTTCATAAAGACAGGCACATTCATCCCCCTCCCCAAACTTGTAAAGAGTTTTCTGTTCATTTTTCAGTTACACCCCATCTCGACCTCATCAGAGAAATTGGTCCATATTCATTAAATGTAAAATGAGCTTACTACCAGCCAAGAGGCTGGGACAGAAAGCGGTGATCGAATGTTCTCATTTCAAAGAATTGCAAATCCCCTGTACACACACACTGCCATCTCTTATACCTCTTAAACCTTTCTCCTGTTAACCTCAGAAACCTCTCTTATTTATGAGTGTCCTAGTTTTTATTAGCCTTTTTTTTACTTTTTTTTTAATTAGTGTTTTGCTTTGTCAAATCTTCTGTTAGGCAAATGTCCAATGGTCTCTGTTTTTCTAACTTGCTTGCTACACATAATTCCCTCGACCTTCCATTTAAAAATTTTTTTCAAACTCCTTCCATTTTGCTGTAAATAGTGATGTTTCATCTTTTGGCTGAATAACATAGTTATACCACATTATCCTTATCTAATCCTCTATCTTGCTTGGGATTTTGAAATTTGACACCTCTCCATTCTCCCAATTTTTTAGATGAGAAACATGGCGGACAATCACTAATCCTGATCCTGTCTGATTTCCCAGTTGGGAAAACTGAGGTCCTGCCAGATGAAGGGTTTGAAACCACAAAAGATTTGAATTGCCTCCTGAAAAGATGGCAGAAGTTAACATTCATTTTACAGATATGGAAACGGAGGCTCAGAACAGAGAGCTGTAAGGCCAAGTCTCATTCTCTACCTGCCCTCAAGAATCCTTTGCCTGTTATCCCAACAGAGGTTCTCCAACTTGAATGAGCATCAGCGTCACCTGTTAAAACAGATGGCTGGGTCCCATCCACCAGAGTTTTGGGCTCGTAGGTCTGTGTGGGACCTGAGACTTTGGGTTTGTCCCCAGGTGATGCTGCTGATCCTAGAAGCACACTTTGAGGAATTGGCTAAGATTACCCCTGATTTCTTTTTTATCTCTGAGAGAGACCAAAGCCTGAATGGGTACAGACCAGAGTTAGCTCAGTGTCTGCCCAGCAGCCTGAAATTGGGGACTACTTCCCTATAGGGTATGACAAGGGGTTGGAACAGCTCCTAATCACTTATCCCAGGGTCACCACAGGCAAGGCCAGGGCCTCTGAACTAATTCTGAAGAGGTGTCCCCTTCCCCCAAAGCAGGGCCGGTTTGGTGACTGAACAGATCTCTGGAAATCTGAGTCAAGGGGGTGGAATAGAGCACAGAGTCTGTGGTCACCCTACAGGTGGAGGGAGGGCTAAGGGCTGACCTCCCACCTCAGTAGATTACCTTGTGGACACATCTCAAGGAGGGGGAGAGGGGTGGAAGGCATCACCCTTGTCAACTGCGTGGACCCAGGGGACCCCAGCCTACACCATCTTACAGAGGGACCCTAGTTCCAGGTACTTACACACCCCCACCTTGGCCCTCACCTCTCTGCTACGGACAGCACCCAGGCAGTGGTGAGCCAGAGACCAAGCGTGAGGCAGAGCAGTAGGCGGCCGGGGTGCGTGTTCATGTACAGCTTGGCTACGAACCAGTGGCGGAAGCGGACCTGGTTGAGCGCACCGATGCTGCGGTAGGACGCGTTGAGCAGCACCCCGCTGCGCAGCAGCACTGCGCGCGGCACCAGGTAGAGGCGCAGCAGCATGGCCAGCGACAGCAGCGCCTCCCCCTGGTCCAGGAAGCCCGGCCAGGACTGCCCGGAGGCGAGCTGCGCCCTCAAACCCGGTGGGCAAGGCGGGCCCTGGATCGGGGCTGGGTGCAGCCCGCACAAAGCCAGCTCCAGCAAGATCTGAGCCACCTGCCGCCCGGTCAGCGCCACTCGCCAGTCTCGGAGCCCGTTGTCCGTCATGAACAGCTGCGGGGAGGGAACCAACAAGGGGGTGGAGGGGTTACACGAAGGTCCGGAGTTAGCTGCCAGCCTGTGCTGGGAGATAAGGGGGGCTCGCCCCGTGTGCAGGCCGGGAGGGTGGAGATATCTCCCTGGCAGGGTGGGGGGCAGGGTGGGGGGCAGAAGCCGAAGGAATATCTCTCCAACTTCTCCCCTCCAGTACGCTAGTTTCCTCCCACTTCCAGCCCAGGAACCTTCAGTGAGCACCTATGGTGTGCCCCCACATTCTTCTATAAATGAAGATACCAGTCGGTAGGCGTGTTGGGTAAATCTGTGGGTGATGGAGAGTATAACAGCCATACCTTAGCTAACATTTCCTGAGCAGTTTGGAGGTGCCCAGGCCCTGCTCCATCCCCTTTACCTTTTGTGTTTCAGCAACCCTAATAGTGCTGCTCATTTTATAAATGTAGAAACGGAGGCCATCCTGCTCAAGTACTATGACGCAGCTGAACGACAAACCCAGGCCACTTAAATGCTCCAAGGCCCATTACTTACTGATGATGCGGTGTCCTTTTGATTGAGCATCAATGGTCATTACCACAAGTGACCAGTAACCCCCATTTTTATATGCAAATGCTGGAGGGCCACAGATCTGGGGAGATGCAGGAACAGGCTGAGAGGTCGGAGAGTTGAGAGTCCTAATGACATCCTTCCCTTTAACACTAATGAATGACTCTTGGGAGGAGGGAGGGATTTGAGACAGAAGTACAGGTCCCTGGGGCTGCGGCTGGGGGGAACTGTCACGAAGCTGGAGAGCTTAGCTAGATCTGGGGCTGCTTTGGGCAGGAATACATGAGGAATCATGCATCTGGGAGGCTCGGCCTAGAATGAGGCTGCCTGGCGGCAGAGTGGACAGACCTGGGTGGGAACGCCCAGCATCCAGGGGTGTGAAAAAGGAGCTGGGTCTGCAGCTGGAGGCATAACAGTGCTGTGCCAGAGGCTGTCTGTCTGCCCAGGGCTCACCCCATCCCAGAGAGTGAGGGTGTGGATGCACGTCAGGATGGAGGAACCTCATTACTCAGCCCAGGAGGAGGAAGAGGATGGAAAGTATGAGTTGAAAAGCAGGAGGGCTGTGGGGAGCAAGAAGGGGATGGGGCCTGCCTTACCTGGACTTCTTTGGCATGAAAGGCCAAGATAAAGCAAAGGAGCAAAACTGTGGAAATGCTGATCAAGCATTTAACCAGGAACAAGTAGATCGCCCACTGTTAGAAGGAAAAGAAAAAAAGGGTGAGATGCTAGATCTCCACCCAACCATGCCTCTGCCTTCCCCCCAAACTGCCATCCCTTCTCAATTCCCCAATCCCTAGCTTCCTTCTCCTCTCCCCCTTTCCTCCTGATGTCTCGGTTCTAAGAAAGCCTTAAAGCCATTATTTGATCTCCAGGGAAATTGCCCTCTTCCTGCAGTCCAGACGCCTCTGGCCCAGGTGCCCCTGTCCATCCTCTTTCTAGGCCTCGCCCTAGGAAGGGGACACTTGAAACTCACATTCCTTCTGATTGCCACTTTCCCTTTCCTTCCCACCTAGCTGGTCCTGCAAAAGAGTGAAATGTCCAGGCCTCCCCCATCCCAAAAGAGATTGAGGAAACCTAGATGCTCTCACTCCCCTACTCTCATCTGGGGCAGGGTGGGAGCAGGTCCCTGATAACCCTGTCCCAACTCTAAGAAAGGCCCCTCCAGTCTTGCCATGTGCAGCTTCCCCCCCTCACCCCCCCTCACCTGGCTTCAAGCCCAGGGCAAGTCTGGCCGGAAGAACATGGAAACACGTGGCCTCCAGAAACCACCAAGTTTGATTTTTTTTTTCCTCTCTCTTTGTGTGGCAATACCCTGGAGGAATGTAGAATTCTGGAGGGAAGGATTTGGAGGGTACTAGGACTGCTGGATTCTGCAGAAAAGTTTAAGCTGGGGGGTCCTACACAGAAGGTAGGGAGGGGGAGGGGGACACCTGGACTCTTCCTCTAAGCTCAGCACCTGTTTCTCCTCAGTTGGCTGCCAGCTCTCCTGGCCAGGGCCCCACCTCTGTGCAGGGGAAGAGGGCCAGTTTCCTGCCCCAGGGGGCCTGCCCCCCTCCTAAACAATGGTGCTGTTGTCCCGTGCCCTCCCCCATTCTTCCAGGGCTCTTGGTCCCTTTTTCAATAACTTGTCCCACGTGCCACCCCACTGGACACAATCCCACTCCCCACACTGCAATTGACTTCTCTGGGGGGCCTCTATGTTCCTATTCTCCCCCCAAATTTCAGAACTCTTTCTCAGTAGCCTCTTCTTCGTATATTGGACTTTGGTCTCTCCCTATCTCTCTCTCTCTTAGTCTGTGCCTCTCTGTACCATCCTCCATCCTGCCCCTCCCTCAAATTTTCATATTCTTGCCCTGAACCCCCTGGGATTGGCACCTGCCTCCTCTTCCAGTCCCTCCCCTGGGGAACAGGTATCTGGATTCCTTCTGAATAAGATTCATAAAATTGAAATGGAGGAGGGGGGACATCATACAGAAGAGGCTCAGGAGGACCCCTAAGATCATGTATTTCAACCCTCAACCCCTATTTGGAACCCCCATGAAGAAACTGAGGCACAGAAAACTGCTGTTACTCCCCCAGTCTCCAGCTGCTGCAGTCTCAGGGCAGGCAGGAGAGAGAAGGGGGAAATGGAAGATGAGAGGGGGGAGGATAGAGGTGGGGTAGGAAAGACCCCCTTGTCCCTTTCCCTCTCCCCATGTGCCCAGGTCTACCTCCCCTGCTGGGCGGGGTGCTGGAGTGTGGGAGTGGTGGGGTAGGCTCCGGTCACGCTTCCTGTTGGCATGGACTTGAGCAGCCCCACCCCCCCAGTGCCCGCTGCCCTGGGCTCAGCCTCCAGGCCAGAGGAAGCTGATCTTCGCTGACCCTCCATGAGGCTATTGGTCCCTTCATTTGCCTCCCCCACCTCAGTCCTAGCCTGATTTTCCCAGGAACCCTTCCAACCTAACCCTGCAACCCCTGCTCCCCTAGCCCAGTTCTACAACCCTCACTCCAACGGGTCTCCAGCCCCTCCTTTCCTGTTGAGCAATTTCATTCAGTTCTCAAGCCACCGCTTCAGACCTGTGCTCTCCATCTGCCCCCATCACAGTCTGACAGGAGCGGGAGCCTGCTCAGACCTGTCCAGGCCCCACCTGTCCCTTCCCTCCCCACTCACAGCCCTCAAAGTCAGTGTTTCTCACCTCCAAATGCTCCCCCCAAAAGCATGTAATTCCCCTTCCCCTTCAGACCCAAGGGACTAATTCCCCAGGCATCCCAACTCCTATAAACCCACTCCTCCACTGTTATCCAGCATGTAAACTCTGGGGGAACTGAGAACTTATTAATGATGAAGATGGGGGAGTTAAGAGGTGATTTTCCATTTCCCACCCCCAGCCTGTTTCTTCAGGTTTCTGCCCTTCCCCCGCTGAGGCACTGAGTAAACTTTACAGTTTAGATAAGGACCAAGGAGGCGCCACTTACTGGAGGACTTTAGTTCTCTGGAAGACTTTAGTTCTCTTCCCACCTTCCCTCCATCTATGGTTACCTCTTCCCTAATCTGCTTCCCTAATCTGGGGGAGCAAATCAGCCACCCCCAGACCTCCAGTTTCTAATTACAGGCTGAGACACTATATCCTCTGCCCCCTTTCTTTTGCAAATAGAACCCCCAGCACCTCCCTCCCTCCCGAAGTCCCAGGACACCAGCCCCTCAGCCCCTCCCCCCTCAGCCCCTGGCGTCCATCTCCCAAACCCTCCTCCCTCAGACCCAGGAGTCCATCCTCCAGCCCCTCCTCCCTCAGACCCAAGTGTCCACCCCCCAGCCCCTCCTCTATCAGACCCAGGAGTCCAGTCCTCAGCCCCTCCTCCCTCAGACCCAAGTGTCCACCCCCCAACCCCTCCTCTGTCAGACCCAGGAGTCCAGTCCCCTGAGCCCTCCTCCCTCAAGTGAAGGAGTCCAGCCCCCTCCTCCCTCAGACCCAGGAGCCTAGGCCCCCACCCCCCCATGGCCTGGATAAGGGCTGCACTCACCGGACACCCTCCAAACCACAGCATCTCCGCATGCAGTACCATGAGTCCGATGCCAATTCCCGCCAGCACCAGTGCCCAGCCGGCCAGCCACTTCTCCTCCTCCAGCAGGCGTTTTCTCCGCCGCAGGGCCCCCAGGCCAGATACCAGCTCCCCGCCCATGGCCCTCGGGGTCTTGGGGCTCAGCCAGCTTCCTGCCCAGGGTCCTCCACCTCGAAGCACGCAAAGGGCAGCCACTGTGGCTTGCAGGTCAGAGGCCTGCTGTGCTGGCTCTGGGGCTCTGGCTTTGAGGCACAGCAGAGCCTGTGCCCTCTGGGGGTGGTGACGGTTGGGCAGGGCGGGGAAGGGCTGGGGAGGCCCCTGGGCAGAGGGGAGGCTCCCCACCCCCCCCTCAGACTAAGGAGGGGCTGGGGTGTGTCTTGGGTCAGAGTGAGGAAGAGGCGTGCATCCACGTGGATAACAACACACACGCTGACACACAATGGGCTTTGTCACACACAACGGTCTGTGCCGTGTAATACACACCTCCCCTCAGCCACACCCAGACACCACAAGCCTCGGGTGATGCACCCTTACACACTGCCTGGCGGGAGACGGAGCTCCAAACACACAGGCACACAACACAACCTTCACCAAATGACTCACAACTCCCGACAAGCTCCCAAACCCACAGCCACACCCGACACCACACACATGATGTGACACACGCCGGCACTCAGTGAGGCCACCCCAGTGTCCACATGCACACGGAGGCACCAACACTACATCCAGCAGCACTTTTTCTTAGCTGCCAAGTGCCGGCCCAGGGGGTCTGGAGCAGGGATGCACAGCCACGGCCACACAAACACAACATATACCAAGTACTTCATAAACACGCATCTGAGACACAGACGCCCCGGGGCCACATGCAACCAGCCGAGGTAAATATGGCACTTATGGTGTCCCAGACACCACACGTCACACACCTGGTGGAATGAGAGCTAGACAGCTGCAGACACATAACATTTAGAGGCACTCACAGCCACCCCCAATCACCCAGCCCACAGAGAAACATACACTGACGCACATCGGGGGCACTGTGATGCCAGCGCTGAGGTTCCTAGAAGGACTGACAGCACACACAGATTCACCCCAAAAGTGACTTCCCGGGGTGCACAGCACCCCCCCAGGGAGAGAAGGCACAGGGTCCTAGGTCCCATGCCCACAAGAACTCTATACCACAGGCTATGTGCAAAGAGTAAGACTGACAAACCAAGTTAAATGCCACTAATCCCCCCACCGCCAGCCTGCCAGGCCCCCCAGGGCTCTAAGATGTGGGGCCGCACAAACACAACATACTAGATACAGCACAGTGCAACACAGCACCACAAACGCAGCACTTCCCATCACAATCTGCAACAAGCGCCTGTGTCCAGCGAACAGCAGGGGTGACTCAGAGATACAGGCAACACAGAGCCTGTAACACCCCAGCGCAAGGTCATCTGCAGTCATGCAAACAGCACAGTTTGGGGGCTACTGCCCAGGCTGGGATCTGGGAAGGTAGAGACCCTCCCCAACAGGGTCACATACCATACCTGAGACACAGGATCCCATCGCTGAGTAGATACATGAGTTTACTCACACAGTGCACCACGGAGCACTCACACATGGAACAGCCAAAGCCAGACAGGACAACCCAGGGCATCTCCCAGAAGGACACACTATGTGGAACGTGCCAGCGTGCACAGAAGTCACGCACAGATCTGCACCTCGTAGTACGGCAGGGAGCAGGAACACATTGGCATCAGGACCCCAAATACCAGGCACGAGATCATGTGCGTTGAGCTCACATCAGACCCCACTCTGGGGCAGCACTGGGCCCCCTCCCGTGTCTGGTGTCATGTAAGAACACAGCCAGCCACAGGAAAATGACGGGCCTGGCAACACACCAAGACACACCAAGACAGCCACACAGGGACACACCCAGAGACACCAAACCACACACACAGACACACCCAGTGACAAAAACAATTCCCACTCGAGGTGAGAGTGATGGGGGCCACACCCAGGTGCACCCAGACACCTTGCATGTGGCCACTCTGCAGAGGACCAGCGCCCCTGAGGCTGCAGCCAGGCGCTGCTCCCCCTGCAGTTCTCTCCGCTTCTCTCTCACTTTCACCAGCCACAGCAGCCTCTGGTTTGTCTTATCTCTCAGTCCGTCTGTCTTTTCAGCTTGTTTTTCCCTTTTTAGGCTTTATCTGTTCCATCTTGCCATGTTTCTGTCTCTTTAAGTATCTCTGACCCACTCTGGCCATTTGTTCCTTTTCTGTCTCTCTGGCTCTGCCTCTCTGACCTCCCGGTGTCTCTGTTAGCATCTCTGCCTCAGTCTCCCCCTTGGAGTCTCTCCTTGTTCTATTTCATTCTCTCTCCCTGTCACTATCTCTGCACTTCCACATCCCTCTGTCGCTGACATGGGCTTCTGGCTGTCTTCCTGTCTCTGTTTCTTGGTCTCTGAGTCTGTTTCATCTCTCTTCTTTCTTGTCTCTCTGCCTCTGTGTTAGTCTCTGCCTCGGTTTCCTTCTCCTGTTCATAGCATAGCTAAGGACAGCCTTGCTCCTTCCATTCCTACCCTACCTCCCCTTAGGCACAAGGGCCAGATGCAGTGAGACTGCAGTGGCCTGAGGGTGTCCAAGGGCACAGACCAGAGACCTCCAGCCCCAGCCCAGGTACAGCTTCTGTACCTAAGGGCAGCACCTGTGAAACCAACTCAGAGGTGGGATGGGGGTGGGGGTGGGGGTGGAGCTTGAGGGATGCAAGCAGAAGACATGGGGACAAAAGGGTAAGAATTTTTTTTTTTAAATCAGAGATGAAGATAAAAAGGGTGAAATAGAAAGTAGAAGCCAGATTCAACACTGGGAAGTTAGAGCAGAGGGAAAGTTTGTCTCCAAAGAGACCAGTAAACAAGAGAAAGCTGAAAGCTGGATGTGGGACAAGCCAGGGTGGGTAGCCGTGGGTCACAGCGGGAAGGACACCTGCCTCCAAACTGAAGTTCTTCGGCTGTGGGGGCCCAACTGTGGTCCAAGAATCAGCTCCCTCCAGCCCAGGGAGGGGCTGAGCCAGGAGGTGGGGTGTGACTCAGGGGCCCAGAGCTTCCTGTGACTCAGCCTTGATCTCAACCCTGGACTGGGAAGTAGAGGGGAAGTGGGGTCTCTGTAAAGAGAAGAAAAGACTGTTGGGCTAAGGAAGGAGGGACTGGGGGTGGGGCTGGACTCCTGGATCTGAGGGATGAGGGGCTGGGGACCAAGGGGCTCGGGGAGGAGAGGATTTGGGCCTGAACTCATGGATTTGGGGGAGGAGGGCATAGGGAAAAGGGGCTGGGGACCTGCACTCCTGGGTCTCAAGGAACAGGGTCTGGGAGATGAGGTGTAGGTGGGAGTGAAGGGGGATGGGGGAGAAGGGACTGAGGGAGGAGAAGCTAGAGGCCCCAACTGGAGGCTGGATGTCAGAGGGAAGAGGGGCCTAGATCCCCTTCCTGGTCTAGGAAGGTTACAAGAACTGATTACAAAACCCCTAAAACTTTTCCTTGGCCTCATCCCAGCTGCCCCACCTTCCTTCGTTCCAATCTACCCTGTCTCCGGGCCTGGAAGGGACCCAGGTGCCTTGGGGCCCAGCCGGAAGGGACCAAGGACAAAAGCTTGTTTAACTGGGCAGGGTGACGAGGGGAGCGAAGAGGGTGTCTCAGGCGGAAAGGTCACTTAACGCCTAGGGCTTGTGCTGGCAAAGGCGGGGCGCTGGGGGGGGGGGCACATCCTGAAAGTCTGAGACTGATAGCTGCTGCGCCACCAGATTTTGGCCATTGGAGACTTCAGGGCATTTGGGATACTGCCACCTCATGGTGGCCTTGGGAACTGCAGTTCTGTCTAGCTAGTTTTCTGTTAGCATGTTATTTATTGAGCACTTACTGAATGCCTGGTACTATTCTAAGTATTGGGGGTATAGCAATTTCAAAACACAAAGCCCTTGCCCTGTGGAGCCTCCAGACTAAAGAGATATGTGGGCCTATCAGTGTCAGCTGTTCTCTTGCTTTCTCTGTCTCTGAGTCTTGCTTCCTTCTCTGTATCTCACCGACTTTGATTCCTTGTTTGTCTCCTGGGCTTCATCTCCAAGGTCACGATTTTTTACTTCTTCCTTTTCTTTTGGTTTTTATTTTCTCTTTCTGACTTTGTGTTCCCCACCAATTAAAAAGTGTGTATATGGCTGTGTTAAACACATGTGTGTGTGTGTTTATTTCACATTTGGGGGGTCTTGAGACCTCGGCTCAAGTCTTGACAAAGACACTGACTTTATTTTTGTGTGGAAGATGACACACATCTTGCCTGGATTAGAGACAGACCCAAATATGTATCTAAATCTGCTGTGTGTCCTGTGAGAACTGTAAAATGGGGGTGATGATCCATCCTTATGTCACAGGATTGCTTGAAGATTAGGTGAGGTGGACTATTCAGAGTCCTGAACAAAATGCCTGGAATCTGTTGTAAGCTCTTATGGTATATTGTCTCACAATGTACTATCAATAATTCCTCCTCTCTTTGTGCTGGAAGGTGGGTTCTCCCAAAAGTTAGGCTATGTCCTTTCTCCATCAGTCTGGCTGCTTTGTGACTCGCTTTGACTAATAAAAAATGGCAGAGATGGGCCCTCTCTGGTGGCACAGCAGGTTAAAGCACAGCACTAAGAAGCTAAAGTCACTTCCGCATGAGTTCGATTCCCGCCTGCCCCGAAGAAGGTGACCACCTGGCGCGGCAGACCTCTCCTGACCCGCCCCGCTGCTCCCCTCAGCAGTGTACTTCGTCGATCTGCCTGTTCTGCTCCCCACTCTGTCTCTGGTGAAGCCTCTTGCCGCCCCTAAGCCTCTGGCCCCTAAGCATGGCCTGTACCCCATGCACTAATAAATAAATCTTAAAAAAAAAAAAAGTGGCAGAGATGATGCTGGGTCAGTTACAGGTGCAGTTTTTGAGAGACCGAGGGGCTTCCATTCTTATTCTCTTAAGCCCTCTGTAAAGATCATGCTATGAGGAAGCCTGAGTTAGTTACCGAATGGAGAGGCCATTCAGAGGAGGATTAAGGCTTCATGATCCAAAGTCCTGATTCAGCCCCAACTAAATGCAGCTGCATGTGTGACCCTCAGAGAGACTCACAGAAGTGCCAAGTCAACCTCAAAGTTGTGAGGAATAGTACATTTTTTAAAGGACACTAAACTTTGGAGTGGTTTGTTACACAGTAATAACAAATAAAACTTTTCTGTTCATGCTTATGTTTGAGGT